TACGAATGGTTCCCGCTAATTGTTATTTAAGCAGTTCACATAGCTCAATAAACAATCAGTGGCATTTGTTTATCGTGCTTGTTGCCTACTTTTTTTGGCTGGGGGCAGCCAGGACAATGACCAGTTGATGGCCCTGGCCATGCATTGTCCGATCGCATTACGTAATTACGCATACGTGAAAAACATAAAAAAAAGCTTTTGGAAAATCAGAAACGCAAACACACGGTACAAATTACCAGCGAAAGTATGCAAAAGTATTGCGTTTTTTTTATTGACGGGGTCTGAACATGTGATTGATAGCACGAGGCTGTGCGCCAAGTCGGATAGATACATAAATAAGCCACAAATTGTGCGGGGAGCGTGTGGCCATTATATAACCCAGTTGATAAAGAACCAAGGAAGGAACCACACCATAGATCGATATATCTACATCCATAAAGATATGTTGTCAAGGCACCACTCTAAGTCAGCTATCAATAGAATAATATAGTTTATTTATTTATTTTGTACTCTAGGGCTATTTTGCAATGGTATTATATTTGATCAATTTCATAATCAACATAATACATAATTATAATTTATTAGGGAACAGACTTCCTTATCTGTGGCAAATTGAGTTGATATGGGTTGCTAATGCTGATTGAATGTGTTTATTAATATAAATATTACAAGCAGAGCAGTATAAATAGATTACAATTAATCTTTTTAGTATATTCGATGAGTCTTTATAATGCAACTATTTGTAATTTGTTTCAACAGAAAGCTTTAGTCCAAACAACAATTTAGATTCGACATACTGCAGTACATTAGACACAGTAAATTAATATAATGTCAGACTGTATAATTAGCTAAATATATATGATGGATAAAAATTCACCGTAGCTTTGCAGTCTTACTGTGACTTCTACTTACTTTAGCTTCTATTCAAGCAATATTCTTTTCACTATTCCTTCAATTTGAAGAACTTTAATTCATTTTCAAAAAACTTAATGATTATTTGATCTAAATATTCGCGAAGCTTAGGCAATAGTAGAGTACTATGAAATGAATTAAATAATTTATAAAAAAGGTTTTCTTAAATGAAAAAAATGAAAACGGTCTCAAATTTATATGCGGATCTGTTTGATTTTCACAACAGATCGTTGACAGCATAAGCAATGCTAGCAATGCTAGCTAATGGATCCTGTATGCATCTCAGAGGATTTGTCGTGATACTCTGCCAGTTTTAAATAAACTTGACTACCCGAGGATCCCACAAGAATTCAACATGAGTTCCATGTGATAGTAACATTCTCTTTCGGAGAATGAGAGCTTTGATTGAGGAGTTCATGAGTTGATCGCATTATTGCAATATACAATTTATGTTAGGCACAGCACGATATAAATGAACATATGTGTTTATATATATTCATATAGTAGACCAATTGCCAAGTGCCCATCAATTAAATTTCTAGCTTGTGGCATTTGTGCACTTTGGACATAGTTAACAACGTTTAAACAGTCTTATAAATATGTTATAAATTAGCTACAACCATAAGTAAAACTGAATTGGTTATTTATGATTAATAAATGCCACAGACTACATGTATATAGATATACATGTATTGTGAGTTGATTAACATTAAATTCATGTCATAAACAAAGAATGAGTAATTGATTTGTCTTAGCTTAAAAAAAGCAGCAACTTAAAAGTGTCTTATCAAAAGTTTCTCAGCAAATGACTCACCTGCTTTGTGGGCATTATAAAAACGCTTTAAGCTGGCCTGAGTGGCCATAAAATCAAATAGTTTATAGAAAGCAGTCGCCGCATTCTCAAGGTGCTGCTCCAAAAAGAAACTAAACTAAAGTATATAAAATTAAAATTTAATTTCAATAAAAATCGAACAAAAATTTGCTAACCGACGTTTGATTTTGGTTTTCACCACAAATTAAACATGATTATGATTGGGCCAAAAAAAAGAAGCCAAAAAAAGAAGAAAAAATAATTTGCATTTGACTAATTTTTTGTTACTTCTTTTTCTCCTACTTTTTGTTAACATCTTTTACAGCTACTCACAGGCGAAGCACCGTTAACATACGGAAAGTAAAAGCGCGTATCTGATACAAACGAGCCACACACTCTGTCACACACACACATCTCCCTAGGCACACACACACACACGCACATTCGCAACATGGCCGATACCATCAACAAGCCCAGCATACAAATTCGCAGCGGTCTGCCATCGCCCCTCAGCGACAAGAGCCCCTCGCCGGCCACGAAGCTGTTGATCAGCCACGGCAAGCCGAACTTCACCATCGCCCGTTCACCCAAGCTGGAAGACAATGATGGCCAGCATCCGCTGTCGCCGCAACCCAGCGCCAACAACAACTACAATCCCTACAAGTGCGCCGGCTACAACAACAACAGCAACACCAACAAATTTGTGGTCGGCACCAAGTTCAACGGCGTCTTCAAGCCCTCCACAGCAGCCGCCAGCTGGGCGAGTAGTAACGGCAACGGCACTGCGGAACAGAATGAAGCAGCCAAGGTGGTGCTGCGTCGCCCGAAGCTGGCCAGTTCGGAAGCACCGGCGGCTGCAGCTGGGGATGATGAGAACGTGCCGGAGTTTATACTGCGACAGCGACGGATTCAGGAGCGTTTGGCCAAGGAGAATGTGCTGGACTTTGAGAATCGGCGCAGTGGCTACTTCACCCACGTCATGATCTCGCCGGATTCACCCAATCGTACCTCTTTTGCTGAGACTATGGCCAGCCCGGCTATAGTTCCTTCTCTGGAGATGCCTCTGCCGGCCAAGATTGAGGAAGAGCAGCAGGGTGACAAGCGGGAGCAGGAGCAGGAGCAGGAGCAAGTTGTTCCCACTGCGAATGGTCACAGAGCAGAATTGGACCAGCCGGCAGTGCTTACCAATGGTCACATTGGCGAGAAGGAGGGAGAGGTAGAGAGAGAGGAGAAGGAGGAGCCGAAGCAAGAGCAGGAACAGGAGCAGTCCTTCAGCAATGGACAGGCGATTAATGATGTGGCGCCCGAGGAGGTGGCCAAGGCCATAGAGGAAGTCAACAAGGCTGTGGCCGGCGAGGATGACGACGCCAAAGCGGAATCGGACCTAGCAGAGGTCCAAGTTGAAGCACCACCAGTAGCGGTAGCTGTACCCACAGTTACAGCTGTTGAAGTGCCGCCGGCTGCCGTAGAGGCACAGGTCGAGGTGGTTACTCCAGCGGCAGCCACTGAAAACGGCGTTGCCACTGAGGAAGCTGGCATCACCATCTCCCATACGAATGGACACTCCAGTGAGCAACCCACCGTAGCTAGGGCCGATCCAAGCGGCGCGCTTGGCGTCAACTATGAGCCGAAGACAGTGGTCAGCTTCTCACAAGAGCTGGGCGCTGGCGAGAACAACTACCCCGACACGGTGCTGGTGACCAAGGAGGTGCCCGCCTCGTCTGCCGATGCGCAGCTGCAGGAGTTGACCAAGCTAAAGTTCGATATACAAAGTGATGAGAAGAACGAGGTGCAGGTGACACCCGTCCTGCGTGCGGAGTAGGCGGCTGAAGCTGCTCCTCTCGTCCAACACCCAAATCCCTTAGTGGGCTTCTAGTGCAATTTGTTATTAATCAAAAGGAAAGATAAACAAAACGAGAAACGAAAACTTAATGTATTTGTGTACTTTGTGTTAGAGACTAAGTTCATTATGAGAAATGTTGCCAAATTTAATTTTATGCTTTTGCGCATCAGTCAGTATCCGTGTACGCACGCATACAAACCCACACACACACACACACACACACACACACACACACACACACACACACACACTACGCGCTAGCTGTTGAGGCAATTGCCACGCCTGGGGCTTCCGCCTCTTGTGGCTGGCCACCAGCTACATTTAACTATGTTTACTTCAAAAACAATTTGCTTTATTTAAATAAATTATTATTACAAACGAATGCGAAGATTTGCTGAATTTAATTATTAACTGGATACCTAACCGGCTTTGTACGGCTTATCGGAGTGTGTGGTTTATTTATATCTAAAGCTTATTTGAACAGTTTTTCCATTTTACAAATAATTTGTATATAATAATATATAATTTGTATATTATATGTTCGTCTGCAGCTGAAGCTAGCGGTTGGGAATATATATTATATTCGTGGCCTAATAAGGTAGAAGTATTTTTCCGATACTTCCCCTAGTGGAAAATTTTGTAATCCTCCAACTGTTATCTTTGAAACGTTATTATTTAAACTTCTCAAGCCTCGATATCACATGATAAAAGAAAGTGGACATTACAAATTATAAAAAACTTTATTTTCTACAGTTTTAGAACAAAAAATAATTGCTCTACAATTGAAAATAAGAAAAATGGCATGTCAAAAAGTTTATCGCTTGAATCTGACAGTTAGTAGGGTTACCTAATCTTCTTAAGGTTAATTAAAAAGTTTTTATAATTATTTATATAAGGCTATTTCAAAAAATATGGAAATACGAGACAGACTAAAATATGATTAATGCACGCTTAGCACTAGCTTGCTTTAAAAATTATTAAAACACTATAAATGTATGTATGTATGCTGTATAGTGATGCAATTATCATTAGCATATCTCCTGACCTTGAAAATGGAATGTTGTTAGATATGTATCGCTTGTGCGAAAAGTATTTTAAGCAATTGAACTTTGACATATGGAAGGCACAACTAGACAGTCCTTCAGCAGTAGGAAATATAAATGTCTTTAAATATATTCTTGAATTAATGAAATTCTTCAATGGCAATGATTGATCGCTTGATGGGCGTGAATGGTATATCGATACTTGCTTAAAAATAGATATCAGCTTAAGGTTTTCGAATGTGTGAGAGGCACCTGCATTGTCTAATTCTCCATTTAGCTGTGAGTTTGTCGAGCGTGACGCTCGTGACCCATGGTAACCATGTCCAGGTTGGCTTCGGGGGTTGCATTGCTGACCAACATCTGTGGGCACATGTCCTGACCGGCGACAGCGTTTAATCGATACTTTGGCCAGGGGCTGTTATTTTCATTTACCATATACATACATATATACATATACAGAGGTTGGCCAAAACAAAAGCGACCATGGGCCAAACAAGTTTTCGAATGAAATCAGTTGGCTGTGGCGCTGCCGTCAGTTCAGCTCAATGCAGCAAGCTTCGGAAAAAAGGTAACCCTAGCTGAATGAAAAGTGAAAAGCGAGTGTCAAAGTTGTGTCGTCTGCGAATTTTTATACTATTATGGATTTATGTCTTAGAGGCTCACAGGTAAGTAGACATACTGAGTAGGGTCTGGGCTATTCTTGTACTGTCCTGTCGCTCCCCTCGCATATATAGATAAACCTCACCGCTAGACAAAAATCGAAGCCAAAGTACAATAGTCGCTCTCTGACCACGCTACACAGTCCGACGCCGCATTTTCGTCCACGTTCGGCCAACTTTCTGCAGCAACGCAGTCGCTCCTCGCCCTTCCTGGGACGACCGCAGTCGGCGGATCCCAAGTTCGGACGCAAGCTAAGCGTTTACTTTGGTGACAAGGAGCTGCGGCACAATAAGCACGTGAGTACCAACTGTCAAACAATGACGTTTGCTTATTAATAGAGAGTGTTGAGAAGAAAATGGACCAAAATTTAGTGAGTTACGTAAAATTGAAATAAAACATATTTTATCAAATAATTTTATTATATTTATCCAAAAACTAAAGAACATTAGTGATATCTATTCTTAGTATACAAATTCTTATAATGCAATATAGTATAATCCAGTTATAACGACACTCAAGGGACCCAAGTAATACTTGGAAGACTCTATAACCGTAGTAGTTTGCTCGTATAAGTTTGCCTGGGAACCAGAATTTCCGTCGCAATAACCGTACGGACGCTATAAGCGAGGACGTTATAACCGGATCCTACTCTAATTTGTATTATGAAATAGAGCATTTCATTATTGAGTTTTTTTTTAAAGACAACATATTATTCAATGACTGAATTGTAATCCAGTTTATATGCTACATATTGATCACTTTTATGGTTATTCGAGCTATTTATTTTACTCTTCTACCTTCTATTTGGCAGGCTCAAGTATCTTCCACAGATCTGCTCAAATCGCTGCTAGAGGAGCCCATCAAGCGCAGCTGGCTGTGCCGCAGCACCTGCAATTCTTCCACCGACGAACAGTCGGATTTCTCGCAGAAGTCAGAAGTCAGAAGTCACAGCAGCGAGGGTGAGCAGCTGGAACGTTTTCTGATCAACATGCCGGGCACAGGTACAGGACAAGGCACAGGTACAGGTACAGGACAAGGCACAGGTACAGGCACGGACAAAGCCAAATCGTATGCCTCCAATTGGTCGGCGGCCAAGAGTCAGGGACTTAGCAATGCGACGCTACTGCAAAAGACTGCTAAGCCAGATTTGCCGGGTCGCGTGTCGTTCAGTAAGCCGAACAGCAGTCAGCACAATGATGTGGATTCCAGTGACTGTGACAATGATAAGCAGGAGATTCGGTGCAGCAGCAGCCATAGCATCAATATTTCAGCTCCAGGTCCTCTAACACTGCCCAACTTTAGTTATAACGGGAACGGAAATAAGCTGGAACCGGGCGATGCCAGTGGACAAAAGAAATCTGTGCACTTCGGCAGTCCCAATTCGGGTAGCGGCAGTGCCGAGGTGCTGGCTGAGACCTATGAGTATCCCAAATGCCCGTCGGAGAACTGCACCTGCAGCACCCGCTCCTCCACGGCCAGCACCAACGAAGCCACCGCTGACATCAAATGCTCCTGCGATGCGCCCACTTGTCGCTTTGCGGAGACCAAGCCACAGTTGCCCCCGTCTGCGCTGCCGACGCCCACGACCAAGTCTGGTTCGTCGGAGCTGAGTGTAATCAGGGAGTATAAGCAGGCGGTGGGCGTGTCTCTGGATAAAACCCTGAAGCCGTTGGAGCCACTAAACAACATGGAATTGCCTAACTATTTGGATAAGTATGCAGCACAGGCCAAGGACAAGCAGAATAATTTGTCTGAGAAGAATCTCAGTCCAGTGAATGGCAGCAGCAACAACAACAACAACAACAACCACGCTCAGAGTAATAGTGGCGCCACCTACCGCTCGACTGGGCAACGTAATTTCGGCGCTGAGAATAATTTTCTGCCCATTGTGCAAGAAGATCGCAGAAATTTCGGCAACACCAATGCTGATTCCGTTATTAGCAATTATCTAAAGATCGCTTCCACTCCCCCATTTGTGGGCAAAAAGAAGGAGAATGTGAAGCCAGCCAGTGCAGAGGCCGGCAGTCGAAACAGCAACAAGTCTAAATTTCTGACCAAAAATCCAACAATTGGCTCCACCGGCAAGCTGAAGAAGGCCGTCAGTGTGGGCAGCCTGCGAGAGGAGCGCAAGCTGACCGAGTACAATCTGGACAAGGTAGACAGCTGGATGAGCATCCACGAGCAGAAGCAGGCGCTTGCCCAGTTCGAGGAGCTGCACAAACAGGGCGTGGACGAGCTGGACGAGGGCAACGACAATGACAACGACAGTGGCTCTCAATTATCACTCAAATCGAACGAGGACTCCAGAGGCTCGACATACGATGAGATTGTGTCAGTTATCAAGGAGATCGAGGAGGATAAGAAACGGGGTTCGCTGTCAGAACAATTCTGATAATTTTTTTGATTTACTTATATGGATAAACACCTTTCAGATAACTTTGCTGAACGTCTGCCCAGTGATCTGAACCTGAAGCTATCCAGCTCAAGGGCCGACACGACGGATTCGGTTAGCCAAATCGGGGACAAGATGCCCGAAAGTGGCGACAAGTACAAGTGAGTGGCAAATTATGGATTAATGTATTAATTATGGTATACAAAAATCTTTAATGCAAGCAAAATGTAATTTCTTGATGGGATTGTGGACATATAGTACAAATGTTAGCCACTCTAGAATCTGAGGGAGCCTCAGGCCTCAAGGCTCAATTATATGAACCTCTTTGATTTTCAAATACAAAGAGCTGGGAATGATAATTATGTTAAACAAAGATTACCGTAAGCCAGAGAACATTCACTAAATATATAAATATAATTTATATGATGGTATATAAATAGACCCACACGAACTTAACCTAGATTAAGCTGTGTATAGCTAGTTTTAGTTTAAAACAGGTTTAGATATATTTCATCTGATCACCTTCACATAATGACCTATATCGGAGAATATAAATATACAGAGAACGCGGAGTGGCTATGAAACATAGCAGCCATATCCTACACGTCTCTTTGTCTAGTCATTCTTTAAATATCTGTGTTGCTTAAAGCTGAATCCGATATTTTAAAATCTTTGCAGAGACATTTTGGCATATCTAAATAATGTGGAGAGCAGCTGTGACAAAACTCTGATGGAAACCCGTCGCTCTATTCCGGACAGCAATCGCTCCGAAGTGGAATTTGTCGTGGAGCCGGACTTGACTGATGAGGTGCCCAAGTGAGTTGTAGATCTAGATATACGCTTATAGGCAGCATATGTCATAAGATTATTGTTTCCTTACAGACTCTCCGAGCTGCTTATGCTTCCCAATCACCAGCTGGCTAGACGCGTCATTGCGCTCAGCTTGCGTGCCAACGAGCTGGCCAATGCCATTCATATGTCCAAGGAGCATGTGATTCAACTGCGCAGCGAGAAGCAGAAGTCGATCCGTGCCGAAAAGTCCAACAGCGCTACGAAAATGCGCGATCAGAAGAAGCACTACGAGGAGGTTGTGACGCGTCATCAGGGCTTCATAGAGCAGCTGCTCAAGGATAAGGGCGCGCTCTGCGAGAAGGTGGCTGCCTTAACGCGTCGCCTGGAGAGCCAGAATCAAGCCTGGGAGCATCGACTCGAAACCGAACTAGCCCGCACAAAGGAGACAACTCTAGCAGGCGAGAAGATCCGACGAGAACGTTGGGTGCGAGAGAATACCAAGAAAATTAAGGTGGGTGTAGGGTAAGTTTAGCTTGATGAAGATGTACATATGTATGTGTATAGGTATGTATGTATATATTTATTCAGATATTATTGATGGGTTAACTGAATATGTCTATCGATGAATTGATGATTAATAAGATTAGCTGAGGATGTCTATCGATTAATTTACATTATTTTCTTAGAAATGCAGAGCTGCACTTTTCCATATAAACCTAAGTTCTAGGACTAACCATATGGTTGGTGGTTCTAGTCGCTAGAAAAACTGCAAACCTCTAAAGTAAATTAATTATATTGAAAACTCTTTGCATTTTAATTTTAAAAAACTTGGATTTGTTTGTCGCGGCAGAGCTTCATTAATCAAAACATTATTTATACTGAGTACTCATCAAAGAGACTAAATCCTCTTCGCTAACATCATTGTCTGTTTGCATACATACATATATATACATATAAATTATTTAGAAAACAGAGCTAAAGAGCTAGTATTGTGAATTAATTATTTAATTTAAAATTGAGCAAAGAGGCTTCTTACATATGGCACAATTGTTCCTCAACAGGAACTCACTGTCAAAGGCCTGGAGGCGGAAATCAACAAAATGAATTGCGATCATCAGCGCGAGGTGACGGAGTTGAAGCGTGCGCATCAGATGGAGCTTCTAGATGCACTGGAGGAGGCGCGGCTAAAGCACGAACAAATCGAGCATGGGATTCGCGAAAGTTGCGCACAGGATCGTGAGAGCATCATTGAGAAGGAACGTACGGCCATACGAGAGCGTTTTGAGCGTCAACTGGAGGAGGAGCAGAAAATCCAGGCCGAGTTGCGACAGAAACTTGCCGATGATTTTGCTGCTGAGCGCGAGCGTCTGCAGGCGGAGCTGCGGCAAAAGGAAGCCGACTACCTAGCCAAGCGACAGGAGGCGCAGCGGGACCACGACAACGAGCTGGAGCAGGCTAAGTTTGAGATGCAGGAAAAGATGGCCAAGCAGGAGGAGAAGTATCAGAACCGCATTAATACCGTTGAGCAGCAATACTTAGCTGACTTTGAGTTGTGGAAAACGGAATACGAGAACAAATCCAAACTGGCCCTGGCTGAGAAGGAGAATGCTATAAGGCAGCACTATAGAGCCGAGCGAGATCGGCAGTTAGACGAGTTGGTGGTGCGTATGGAGGCAGACGCACTCCAAAGCAGCGAGGAGCACGAGCAAAAGATATTGTAAGTATAACGAATAGCTGTGCGAGTTACCAACTAATGCTCCATCTATAGACGTCTCAAGGAGAAGTTCGAGAAGGATTTGCAGTTGGCTGAGAACGTGGAAAAGTCACTGAGGGAAAAGTATGCCGAGACGCGTGAGAAGCTGGCCGAGGCTGATGCTCAGGTGCGCAATAGCCAGGCAGAAGTTAAACAGCTCCAGATGGAGCTCAGCCACAGCAAAAAAATGTGCGGCGACTTCATCAACGAGCGGGACAAGCTGCGTGACAACCTTAATGCGGATATACAAAGCGAGCTGAATGTGCTTAACGAGCGCCACAAACAGGAAATGGAACAGCTGCAGAAGAGGTAAAGAGCTGATGATGTAACTAATATATAGATCAGATTTATTGCTTGCCCTTTTTATTGGTATAGAGTACATCAAACGATACAGCGACAGGAGGAGACCATCGAGGTGCTGAAAGCTGACAATGATCAACTGCGACAACAGTGCCTCAAATTGAATGCAGTTATACGACAGCAGCGCAAAGATTATTGTGTTAAGTAGTTCGGATTTATTCAAATGAATAATAAATATATAGAAATATCTATATAAGCCTCACATACTGCATGTTTTTTTTTTTTTTTAATGAGTGTAAACAGTAAGTAATTGAGTATAGCGGATCAAGTATCGATGCACTGAGTGGAATGCAGATGAATGGTCTAAGCAGATGGACGCAAGTCATTGCTCGGTCAAGTTTAGTGAAATGGAAGACTTGGAATTTATAGCGAGATCTGTAAATCTGTAAGAGGGACTGAAATCATGTCTTGCATTTTCATTTTTCTGTTGCCATATTCGGATTAAAGATATAATAGAGTTATTATATATATGTATGTATATACATTTCATAATTCAAGTTTACGAAGAGTCTATAGAAAGGCGCAATTATTGAAGCAATTATCGTAAACTACTGGGGTTGTTCAAGTATTTAGGAGAAAGAAGTTCTATAGACCCATAGCGAAGGGGGCTATTCGTATATGTTAAGTACAAAATTTGAAAACTAACCAAAACCAAAAGGCTGACCAAAACGAATCGTGACCGATTTAATATGTTATCCGAATCGTACGTAAGCTGCTGGAATAAAATAAATGTAAATAAATTGACCCACATTGTTCACAGGTTCCGCATGAGGCATTGTTCTTGTTTATCAAATTTGACTATAGTTTACCTATAAACTGAACCAAAGATCAACCAAATACTTAAAGAAATGTAAATCATTCTAAGACTATTATGCCTTATAGTAGCATATAAGAAAGCATAATAAATTTTTATTTTTTATTTTCTAGCTGAGTTAACTTTCTAAGACAACTATATTTAAAAAACAAGTAAGTCGGGCGTTACCGACTGCGGAGTACTCATTCACATCCCAACAGCAATTTAGCAGCTAAGTGTAGCTCCAATACTGTATTTTTTCAATATGCCACGCCCCTAAAGAGGCGTAAAAATTATTTTTGGGTCATCGATAGATGAGGTTACTAGTAACTCAACTATTCAAATTTGAAGCTTCTAGCTGTTATAATTTAGGAGAAATAAACTTTTGCGGATTGCCACGTTTCCTGTGGGCGGACATATATCCGTCGAAGCTTTATGGTCTTGGGTGGTCAGCCCGAGTATATATACAAAATTTGAAGTCTCTAGCATCAATAGTGTCAAAAATATATCTGAATTTAAAAAGTCACTATATTTTCAGGTCCGATTTGCCACGCCCCTAAAGGGCGTAGATATAAAGTTTTGTCATTCGACTTTTTAGAATCATAACATTAGCTTACGTGCAAAAGCGTTGTAGCTGTAAAACTCTTGGAGGTACAGTTTTTTCCGATTTTCCACGCCCCTAGTTGGCGGATCGGAGATATACACGAGTATGTGTTCCAAATTTCAAGTCTCTAGCTTCAATAGCAGCGAAATAAACTGCGTTCATACGGAAAGACGGGCAGGCGGACGGACGGATAGACTATTTTAGCTAATATTTATCAGTATTATTATTAGCTAGAGAACAAACGATTTGATGAGATAATTCATGAGTTAATTGAGTTGGGGTATGCGATAAAATGGTGCCATCCTTAGTTTGAAGTCGAGTAGAAGTTTGAAGTTTTCCATCAAAAACACTGTCAAGTATTCAGACTTTATTCAGAGTTGATAATGCTGAAAATTCTCTCTTGTTACAAATACAAGAATGAAGCATTTAAGTAAAAATATATGTAAAAAATAATAAAAGTAAATAAATAAATATACAAAATGTTGATATAATCTTTTATTCATTTTGATTTGACATTCAAATTGACATGTATCGATATTTATTCGTTATAGCTCATCAAAATATTTGCTATCTAGCTCCAGCTTTTCCCGGATCTGGGGTTTTATTTTGCACGGCACAATTCCAGGCAACACCTCTGCCTCGTTCACCGTCGTAGGTGTCATACCGAGATTAAAGCATTTGACGGCTTTAAGGCATGCAAATCGTTTTTTTGTATTACAATCAGTGGTTGAAATGTCGCGTTGTGTATTTATGTAGCCACAGTTATCGTTAACACCAATTTGTTTTTTGATTCCTGGAGAGTATTTCATGATGCTCTCTATCGATGTGGATTGCGCTCTGATAATTCCGTACTCGTCCTTGAAACCAAACCAATAGTCAGCTCGATCTATTGACATCATTTTCCTTGCCAGTGCATTGTATTCGGTGGTCGACTCGAAATTGGCAAAACAGAGATGATGTTTCTTACATATCTGCCAAGCTTCATGCCAGGTGGCCTGCATGGTACAATTTACAAAATGATACAATGTTATAATAATTATCAACATTTAAATACAGTGGTATCATTACCTCCCTTGTGCTTAAATAGAAACACCGATAAGCGTTTGCAATCCCTTGAAAGTGCTCCAAACAATATACCAGTGCCAATAGTTGTAGTTTCATGATGACTGCTTTTCGAAATGATTGACTTATAATTCTTTGATCAAAAAAGGAAATTTATTATGTAAGCCATAGCCAATACATGCAAATCGTAGTGAAAAATCCATTCGTTAGGCCATTTGAATTCAATCTTTCTGTCACTTGTAAAATTTGTTTTTAAGTACATACAGTGGCATCCGGTTATAACGACTCCGCTTACAGCGTCCAACCGATTATGTCGACGAAAATTCAATGTCTTGGTTGGTCTTCATACAAACTTATATGAAAGAGCTTCCGCTTAGTACGTCTCCGCTTAGTACGTCTTTTAACGACAATCCGCTTATCCCGACGATTTATTTATTTATTTTTTCATATTTTTAAGTCATTAACCGGTTATCATTGTTAAAAGAAATAATGCGAAATAATGACAACAAATTTCAGCACAAAAAAAGGCTGTTAGAAATGTATATATGTATGTATTTACACTAACCAGAGAACACAACAATTTGTTCTAGATGTCTAGTCTATGTGTTCTCTGGCTAGTGATATTTATCCGTGATCAGTACTCTCCCTTCTGTTCGTGGCAGCCGCACAAATGTTGCTAAGACAGAGAGAAAGGGATAGAGAGAGAGAGAGAGAGAGAGAGAGAGAGAGAGAGAGAGAGAGAGAGAGCGCGAGAAAGAGAGAGAGACATCTGCAATGCCTACCATGTTATTAAAATAAATTTATTAAATCTTTTTGTTTTGAGTAAAAATTAAAACGTTTCTATGTTTTTTTTGTCCTTCTGGTTAAATCTGTCGCTATAACCGGATTCCACTGTATATTCATTATGAGCTCTCCGTTTTTATGCACTCTAACTGACTTTTACTGCTGGACTGCTCTACTTCCGAAGCGTAGAATTTTGAAATATCAGAGCTTTCCAACATATTTAGTTCTATATTTATTCTCAATTTATTTATGCTTGTTTTTCTTTTTTATATAATTATTTTTATGTGAGATTTTATTTAAAAAATGGATCAAAAGCTCTTAATGATTTTTTTCTAGCTTTCATGGTAATCTATTAGTCTGGCAACGCTAAAACATTTGAGATAATCAAGATTTAACAGATTATAGATTCTAGAGCACCGTGGTGAGTCGCATTTTATATTGAAATCCAAATCACTTTGTAAGTTAAACAATATTCATAGGCATCGAACATTCCTAGCACTTGCTACCAGGCTGTATATTTACGTCTGGCAGCACTAACACTAGTCTAACCGCAACATCATATGCAAATCTGGCAGCAATGGTACTCAATGCTAGAGTCCACATGCAGTAAATACGTTCCACACGCAGAACCAGAACTTTTAGCTAAAAACAACAACGCAGCAAATAAGAAAAAGTGTCAGCGACAACAATTCCAATAAGATACTTTCGCTTGGAACTTATTCGTATTTTTGCCGTCGACGCATTCGGAACGTTTAAAACGCGCATCGTACTAAAATTAATCGACTATAAAATCAGCCCAAAGCGAAATTCAAATAACAGTTCAATTTAAAAACTACACAAATTTTTCAACATGTTCAGCTCGTTCACAGGTAAAGAAACGAAACAAGAAATAAAGAATAATGAATTATATGAAGAGGAGAATAATAAAGTCAAAACTCAGGTTAAGCTATTTGTGAAAGTTTTCGAAATAGAAAACAAAGAGACATGTTGAATTAAATATGCAAACTGTGGTGTGTATTATGTGCTATGAAAGAAAATAACAACAACGTCAACTAAAGAGTTAATGCATTGTGAGACCTTGCTGTTAGGACTCGTAAAACCTATGACCGCATTGCAGGATTACAATAGAATTACATCATCGTCCCAAGCAATAAAAAATAAAAACGGAGTAGTAGCGCGTAGATAGAATTAATTATTTGCTACGATTACTTATAGAGCTTGATGATGATCACGATGATGATGATACGGCAGCGTCAGTCAATTATGGCGCAGTATTCGTCTATATATATATATATATATATATATATATATATATATAACATATATATATAGAACAATTTATGATACATAGACAAGTATATATATATATATATATATATATATATACTTGTCTATATATATATATATATATATATATACTTGTCTATGTATCATAAATTGTTCTCGCTGGCACAACCCACACCCAAAAGGTGCCATTTATATATATATATATATATATATTATATGTATGCGTGTGTGCATAAATACATATATTGTCGTGTGTATAGAATCTATAAATGTTTAATATATATTTTAGCATTCTATGTCATACTACGTGCTCCTTGAAATTATAAATATTTCTGCGAGCAACTCTTGAGAAAGTTATGATCCCTCTTTGATGTATTTCATTGTGTGTGTACACAAACACATACCCTCACATATACAAGTTGAAAGACGAATTAAAAATAATTTACTCTATTTCCGTTACCTTAAAATTTGTTCAGTAGCAGTTTTCTCGTCTCCCTGCATTTGAGTTCAGTTTGAGAAAGAAGAAAAGAGAATTGAATTTTAAAAATATTTCCTAGTAACTTTTTTAGGCTATGTTGAACTGTACTTTTGATTAATATTCTCTGTTTCCACTTAATGCAAACAGATGCTTCGAAGTGTAAGTAAAATCAATTATGTTAACATAATATGACACTTTTTTTTATAATTTATACACACAGAACAATGAAAAATCGATAATTCAAAATGTAAAGTAAAAAGCAAAATATTCTGAAATATGAATGTTTTTTGAAGATTGCTTTGAAACTTCATGTTCAAATCAAAAAAATTTTTTTTTTTTTGTTAATTAAATATTTATTTTTTATTGAGAGTGTCCATATTTATTTACGGTGTCGTCTTGTAGCTCTCTAAACAGAATGTTTCCGCAATTCTGAATACCACCATTAGTGATGCCACCACTAGCACTACTCCAATCCATCGCGATAGCCACACACCACCACCCCCTTAATGCTACCTCTCAATCCGTAGTAAATTAACATAAAATTGATTTATTTATATGGAGGCCAAATAAAATCTCTGGCATTTTATTTGCTGCAAATAAACAAACTCATTGGGACTTGGGGATATTTGAGGAGCTCGTCCAGTGGCGAGTACAGTTAATTAAGCTGTTTAGCTTTGCGGTGCTGCCTGCGTCGCGGAATTTTCGTCCTGTCCTGCTACTCCTGGCGGTACTGTCGTGGAAGCATCTGGCTTATCAGTCACTCCACCTATATTTGGCGGTCCTGTCGCGGAGGCATCTGGCTTACCAGTCACTCCACCTATATTTGGCGGTCCTGTCGTGGAAGCTTCTGGCTTACCAGTCACTCCACCTATATTTGGCGGTCCTGTCGCGGGAGCATTTGGCTTACCATGCTGCCCTCCTATATCTGTCGGTGTTGGCGTGGGAGCTTCTGTCGGCTTATCATGCTCTCCTAATGTTCCTGTCGGCATGGTACTCGTTTCTGCTGTACCATCTGTTTCTGTTTGTGTTATATCTGATTCTGCCGTCGTGAGCGTACTCTCCGTTCCGTCATTTTCAGTTGTAGTGGTATTCTCTTTCGACTCCGCTTGCGCCGAATTCGAATTATCAAGCGGCCGTGAGTCGCTTTCCAAACTTTCTGTACGTGTCGCATTCCCAGTATTTTCGTTCTTGGTCGGATCGTGGTGGAAATGATGCAAATGCTCATGGCTATGATGCTGACTACCAACTGAATCCTCCGTAGGCTGAGCACACTTCAATTCAGTCGCCTGACATATAAAATACTGTTCCTCTTCGCAATTGTCGTCGGTGACCGTGGTGCCATTATATCTCAGCCTAACCTCCAAACAGTCATCCAAATTGGCCCTATGCGTCGGCTCAATAGCCGCCGCACCACCGAAATACCGTACAGGACGACCAGTGCTAATATATGTAAAACGGCCCTCCGTCTGTAGATCATTGCCGCCGAACCAATAGTCTTCCATGTTGCCGCGCGAGCGTAGAAACTTCATAACGGCATCGAAGTCGTCCTTATTGGCAATATCAGCTAAATTGAGATCCTTGCGTAGGCAATTGTTTTGTGCCCCGAACCAGTTCATCTACAAGGGATTCTGCCATAAAATGTCTGTATAGTCCATGAAGTTGTGACGAATACAAACCTTTTTGCCGGCAAAGTAATAGCATTTGCCATTAATTTGACGCAAATACCGCTTTCCACAAGGACCTAAATCACTCTTGTTGTTCGCCTTCGACTTCGACTTCGGCTTCGGCTTTGAGCCTTTTCCGGAGAGGACATCATCTGGGTACACTACGATTAGGGTCAATATCACAATTTGCAGTAACCTCATGGCTGCAGGCGCCGTTGTCCACAAACTGTGTCAATTTAGCTTGTTCCTTCTATATATAACCACATTGGGGGCGTGACAACTGCATTATCCATGCCAACTATGCTACTTAAATCGCATAATTTGTGCTGCTCAATTGTGCCCAGCGTTCAACAAATCAATTAATTTAAATTCGTTGCGGTCAAACCAAACATCTTTATGACTGAATGAGTTAGTAAGCAAAAGTAAGCAGCTTGTTTCCCCTCTTTAAGCACCTTAAGAACGGACAGTACACTTTGGTGTTTTATTTTTATGTAACATCACATTTTGATGTGATTGTAGTTTCTGGAGTGATTTCATTGAATTTGAAAAGAGTTTTACTTAACTTAATCATGGTTGTATATTTCGTTATTTGCATTTTTTAGTGAAAATGGGAAATCAGGGTATAATGGTTGTGTTAAATGTGTGTATGCAGAGGGAAGCGTACCAGACCCCTTTGCCAACATGATCTTGGTCAAGGTAACGAGCTAGGTCGATTTACCTCTGTCCGTCCATATGTATGGCGGAGCCGGCCTTAGAAAGTACAACAGCTAGAGAATTTAATTCTCAGGGGGTCTCCTAGTTGAGCAGTCTCGAATGGGATTTTCTCACTTGTTAGGAGGTGTGTGTATAAAGAATATACATATACATATATGTAAATATATGTTTAGTATTGATGAGACCGATCAGCGCTGTTGTTCTACCATCTGTCTGTCGATATGATCGCAGAGATCTCTGTGAAACAGAAAATGCAGAAAACGTATTCACATATAATTCATCAAATTGCGTTAGCTTTAGCAACGGTGTGCCCAGCTATAGCAATTGAAAGCTTGAATGAATTTATGTGTGCTTTTTGGAAATGTACCCTCAGTTAGCAGTATTAATTATGCCCAGTTGATATTATATTCGATTTAATATCTTTGACCGAGTGCCCTCAATAGCATTTTCTTCTTGAATTTATTTGGTTTATTAATGCATAAAATTTGTTTCCATTTGTGAAACATCCATTATTCCGTGGCATCCTCCAACAGTTAGGTATCTGGCCCGTTCGTATGCTCTTCTGCACTTGGATTTTAGGGATGCACAGTTGTGACTTCAGTTGGGTTGTTCGGAACCACAGTTGTGACTACAGGTGGCTTGGTGGGGTCCACATCTGTGACTCCAGGTGGCTTGTTCGGATCCACAGTTGTGACTTCAGGTGGCTTGTTCGGATCCACAGTTGTGACTTCAGGTGGCTTTCCAGATCCCACATGAACTGTAGTCGCTACATTATTATGCTCGGCTATAGTTGTCCCATTACTTGGCTTTTCGTTTGACTCCGGTTGTGGTTCACTCGTCGGACCTCCCACTGGTGGATCAACTCCCTCCTCTGAGCCGTCCGGCTTTTCCGTTACCAACTCTTGTAAGTCCGGTTGCTGTCCATCCACGTCAACCGCTGCCTCAGCCTCGTTGCTGGGCTCGCCAATATCGTGATGGAAGTGATGTAAGTGTTCGTGACTGTGATGGCGCTTCTTAGTGCCTTCGGCGAAGTCGCAGTACCGTTCAGAGCAAATGAAATACTGCCTCTCTAGACAATTGTCGGCGGCCACCACTGTCATGTTGTTGCGTATGCGCACCTCCAGACAATCATCGCACTTCGAGTGCTCCGACTCCCCCACGAGGCTGTAATTGCTGAAGTAACGCACTAAGCGACCATTGCTGATATATTGAAAACGGCCCTCGGTTTGCAGATCGTTGGCACCAAACCAAAAGTCCTCCGTGTTGCCTTTGGAGCTTAGAAATTCAACAGCACCGTTGAAATCTCGTGGATTGCTCAGGTCGGCCAGTGTGAGGCCCTTGCGTAGGCAATTGTTTAGAGCACCAAACCAGTTCAGCTGCAAGCAGACAGACAGACAGACACAGAGAGAGAGAGAGAGAGAGAGAGAGAGAGAGAGAGAGAGAGAGAGAGAGAGAGAGAGAGAGAGCAAGTGAGAGAGAGAGAGAAATATAAGAAATAATCGATCGCTTAATTCACCAAAGCAATTGCTTACCTTTTTAACTGAAAAGTAATAACACTTTCCGTTGATGCGTCTCAGATAGCGCCGAGGACAGCCGGTGTTTTTTGAGCAGAGTACATCCCTGTGCAGGACACTCAGCACGGCAATGATCACAACTATGATGTGCTTCATCTCGCCTGACCAATGCACCATTGTGTGCTCTGGCGCTGCTCGCTCCTGTACTTATATCCTCTCCTAGCGTGCAATTGTCAATCCGTTTGCCATGCCTCTTAAATATATGGTCGCGCCAATGCCCTTATCGATCTTTCCAGCTGCCATGCCCAATGATCAGCTAATTCAATTAGTTGAGTTCACTTGGTCGGGCATTACGGAAGAATGCTACATACACTTCACTCCAGACGGCGTGCTGTCATCGAAGTTGGTTTTGCTGATGGAATCTCCGCTTACTGTGTCTGTGGGTCATCCCAGGGGTTATGTGTTTAATTGAATTCTTCATTGCCAGAGTGCCATTGATAGTTACTTTCAGCTAATTTCCGCAGAGTAAACATTATTTGTTAATAGATCTTTACAAAGTGCTGAAAATAGACGAATATACAGTTCGTTGTTGTATTTATTTGCATATAAAAATAAAGAAATTGAAACTAAAAAAAAAATAATAATAATAGTAATAAAAAAAAAAAAACGGTTTTATTCAATACAAATGCTTGAATTCTATACAGAAATGAAAAAAATTTACTATACAGATTACAATGAAATAATGCCAGGTAGTCAATTAAAATTAATTTGTTTTATAAATTTTGAGAATGAAATGATTATATTTTTAGAGGAGAAAATAACCCTATTTTCTCTATTTTTTTTTGTTGTCAGAAAGTGGATTTTAATATAATATTTGCAGTCTGAATCCTACTCATTAATTTAATAAATAATAAACTCAATTGCATTGAGTGCATAGTTATATAATATATTATTATAATGTATAATACTTTCCTCCTATGCTATCAAATAGTAATAACTTCATTAATTACCATCAAATCACATTCCACTACATAAGCTTTGATCTAGGTGTATTATATTTATGGAAAAACCTTGCCCTTGGTCAGAGCCATGAATCATTTATTGATTTACCTTTTGGGTGCATATGACATCATTCCGTATTCGGTATTTTGTGTTTGTTGTTCGACATTTCGTTGTTTGCAGCTGTGTCCTTTGCCAGGACACGAAGTACCAGCTCCGTAGCCAAGCTGAGAAATTGTTTTTCTTTTTTGTCTGGTATTGACCTTCGACAATGAGCTAACTTGAAGCTACACAAACAGCGGGGCGTGCGAATTATTCATTATTCAGCCGGGCGGGCATGTGGCGAGCGATTACGATTCCTATGACATCATCAACAACTGAGAGGCACCAACAGCAGCAGCAGAAGCAGCATCTAAAGTTCGGTTCATCGATTCACAGCTATGTGTGTTGAGTTGCCCATGTGTGTGTGAGGTCTGTGAAAACCTGGTGTGGAACGTAAGTTTCTCAACTGGGCTGGCAGTTACTCATAGAGCGACAAGATACGCATACATATGAGTGAGAGATACAAATGTATCTGTGTCTGTATCTGTATCTGTATCTGTATCTGGTTTGCTGGTGTAGCTTTAGCTGTGTCTTTAGCCTGTTTGTATTTGTTGCGCTTGAGTTCTGTTGGTCTTGAGTTCAGGTTTTATTTATTTATTTTTTTTTTTTTTTTTTCATGTATTATATTTTTGTGCTTAGCTCTTTTGCGCATTATCTGCGGCGATGAGGAGCAAAAGAAAAACACAAAACATCTGAGGTTCTCGACGTTTGCTCTCAACTGTGGCTTATTGTGTTACTTTATGGCCATGTTATGATATTCTAGCCGGTTTTTTGTGTTTCTATTTTTCGTTTATTCTTAGTATTGACCGCAGCATAGCATAGAATCTGCGTCGTACTCTTACACAAATGCGTTGAGAGCACTTGATTCATTTTGATAAATAATCATGTGGCTTGGTATTTAATAGAGACTTAGTGTTTCCTAGTCGGATTCTTGCTCGCTATTCGCCACATGATTTCGAAATTTCTATTCTTAGTCGATTGCAAGCAGAATGCAAATTTGTTTTGCTATCGACTGTAAGACAGGCAATTTGTTTTGTTTATTTACAGATTTTTTAATTTGTAAGTGAAATCGGTTTTGGTTTCAAATGCAAATATAGATTAGCTTTTTGATGTTTACCAAACAGCAAACTCGTTCGCTACAAGTTTCTCCACAATAACAATTTTTTATATCTTCTTCTTATTTCTATTTTTATAGCTGATGGGAAGATTCTTTTTTTTTATAATCCTTTTAATAGTTTGAAATAATTTAAGAACATTCAAATTTTGTTTATTTGTATTTACAATATATATAAAATTATGTTCTAACGTTAATTTCATATACAAATCCTCTGTATATTTATATACTATGAACCCATTGAAAATAGTCTGTCTGTCTGTCTGTCCGTATGAGTCGATCTCAGAAGTTACAAGAGCTAGGGAGCTGAAATTTGGCATGCATACTCGGGTATACCATACGAAGTATAAGTTTATCTTCTTTTTCGATACCTCATCCGATAACTTTTTTATCGAGAAGAATCGAAAAATCGACTAATTTGAGCCTAATTTGAACACCTTTAAACCTAGAGACTTCAGATTTACTGTGTACAGTTAATCGATACAAAGATTTTGTAATTTACAGATTTTGGATACCACGCCTCCTTTGCCCTCAATTTGTAAAAAACGTATTTCAAGTACTAGAGACTTGTGCTTAGGAATATACACACATTCTACCCATATGATCACGCTCTTAAAGTTTCATAAAGAAACTCTTACTACAAGAGAAACTAATAAATTCTCGTAATATTGTCCACACTGCAGCGCAGCCCAAGAGCTTACTGCGCAGTCAGCAGAGCTTGTGATTATACGTGGGTGCATAAAAGAAGTGCAGGATTGGTAAAATATCAGCTTGGAGGTTTCAGAGTATCTCCTAGTCGAGCAGTCTCGACTAGAGCCTTCTTACTTGTTTTTGTATAACCCGTTACTGCCGTTCATAGCACAAGTGCAAGTAACTCTGTCTATTCTGCCTTGCTTTTTGGCTCAAACATTGTTTACCATTTGATCGCAGTTTCCTGCTTCTTCCATTATCATATTTTGTGTTCCAAAAGAATTCCATAATTTTTGCACTTTTTCTCGCACTCATCGGCGCGTGGTCCAATCAAAATGCTAATTAACATTTTTTTTTGTGCCAAAAATATCTAAAAACCGAAAATAAATATAAAAAAGCGGTTTTAGTACTTAGCATATTTTTTATATAGGCATGCATATTATTAAATTCGAAAGGCCATTTAGTTTTGGTATGTAAACACTTTGCTTTCTCAGCCGCGCCGCAAGAAAGCGTGAATAAAGAGCTGAAAACTATTGGAATAAATTACCATGAAACGCCATTATGACATCACATACTGTAAATTATTCAAATATTTGCGCATTGTTTAATGTATATATATATATATACACACACACACATTCACACATACAGTTACACTTGGCATGCCTTGTTAGAATAGTTCTACATACATATGTACATATATAGCTCGAAAATCGACGATTCGAGCGGATTGCCGTTGCGGTGGCTTTTAATGGCACACTGTTTCTATTTGAGTGAACGCACACGTCACTTTATGGGAATGCAGTAGCTGAACAGTCTCTCTGGGCTGGGACACTGCTTCCGACGCGCACAATTCCTATTCAATTATAATTAAAATTTTATTTTCTCTCTTGTGTATGCCCTGTGTATGTACAAATTGTTATTATCAAACTGTGAAGACTTCGTTCTCCAAGTATATATAATATGTACACATATTTATATTAGTCAGCGTTCGATTAATATAGTCTTATTTGTTAGTCGATTCAACTGCGTGACCTCATCGAACTTTGTTATGAAATTTGGCATGATAGCATCTACATATTTCTAATACAAGACCTACGCAGTTAAATCTTGTTTTTGGATATATTCATTTCCTTTGCGAATTCGGCAGCTATATAAAATCTAAAGATCTATAATTTGGTTATGATTTAATCTGATGCATTCGAAATCTAAATTCTAGTATAAAATTGGTAGCCTCAGTGAACTCAGAATTGTTTAGAGCTAGCGGTATAAGAGTTGGTACTCAACTGATATCAGCCATGCAAAGTTCCATTTTATTTTCATGTAGTCGTAGCTCCAGCCATTCCTTACCAATCCATACAAATATATATATTTATGTTATATGCATGCACAGAGCATTCAGTAGTCGTGCACCCAAGTATTAATCATCTTACGTGCTTAGTTTTTGTATTTGATGCGTTTCAAATTTGCTGCTGCCGCCTCCAAATTAAGTGCCACGAACTGCGCAGCAGCTGGCTGGGTGTCAACTGGCTCTAATCAGGGCGAGAATCAGGCATGGCATGTAATTACGATCTGATTAGTTCATGCTCGATGAAATTCCACGCCGTGTCCAGGTATTTTTTCTTTATGCTTTGGCAATTAGCATCGTCTGGGCACAGTTTTCACAATTGACAATTTTCATCGATAAGCTCGGCCAAAAGCTCGACTGATTGCAGTACATTCCAGTCTATAAATTATGATCGGCAACTGGCATAGCCTTTAGTTGAAATTCAAAAGCTTAGCTAAAATGTATCCCAGCCGCCAGCAGCCCAAATGTGCGAAAAAGGGAGAGAGTTTGAGTTGAATTGGAAGTAAAATTGATTTCTATTATATTTCTTTTCCGACAGCCTCTCTGAAGAGCTTTGGCGACAAGACCGCCAACTTGTTCAGCAAGAAGAAGGATGAGGCCGAGAAGCTGGCCAACGAAAAGGCAGCCGAGGCACAGAAACTGGCTGAGGAGCAGGCCAAAAAGGTCGGACAATCAGTGCAGCAGACCAAGAACGAGGCCGAGCAGCTGGCAACCAGCACAGGTAATTCGATAGATCAGAGAAAGAGAAAGAAAGAGAGAGAGAGAGTTAGAGAGAGGAATTAAAAATTCTATAAATCTATGATTTTGTAGCTAAGGATGCTGCCGCCTTGGCCGCTGCCGAGGCACAGAAGGCTGGCCAAGCGATTGACCAGGGCGTCAATCGCGCTGCCGGCGCCGTCAATCAAACCAAACAGGCTGTGGACAACACCGTCAATCAGGCCAGTGCCGCTGTCCAGAACTCAAAGCAGGTGGCCGCCAATGTGGCGGAGGCCTCTAAAAACGCTGCTGCCAATGCTGTCGACCAGACCAAGAAGGCGGCCAACGAGGCGATCAACAAGAGCGTCAAGGCCGCCGAGTCTGTGGCCGATCAAAAGCTGAAGCAGGCCGAGAACGCCATCGATGGCGCCTTGAAGCAGACCAGCCAGACTGTCGACCAGAAGCTGAACGAGGCCAACCAGTACGTGGACCAGAAGCGCGAAGGACTTGAGAAGAACATCCAGGAGGCGACCAGCCAGGCACAGGAGAGCGCCGGACAGCAGGCCTCCCAGCTGCTGGGCAAGCTGCATCTGGGCCCCAAGTAGATGTTGCCCCCTCCTTCTAAAAACAAACAAAAGAAAATAACGTAACTAATTTCGTCTGTGTTTAAACCAAGAAAATGCTTTAACAGAAACAAAATGAAAAAATGAATGGAATGCTTCAACGTAACAAGTGCCAGTAATGTGATTGCTAAAGATTTATTCAGATATATATATATACACTATATGTATTTTTGGATTTTTTATATATATGTATTTGTATTGAACACTTTAGTTTTACATACTTCATGCAGCGCAGCTTTTGATATGCACAAAGCAAAAATAAAAAAGAAACAGTTTTTTTATTAAGTTTTCACTATTTTTTATATACAATTATAAATTTGTTACTTTGAAGCATTTGATATTATAAATAAGAATGTTTTTATATATATGATTATATACGATAAAATGAAAGAGCTATGCTTTGTTAAGTATCTATTCTGTTTTATGTAGAAATGTATAATTAAGTATTTTTAACTTTTTGCACAATAAATTACAAAAATGTGTTTTATCATGTAGATGAAAAAGTCGGCAATGTTTATATTCTGGGTGATTTGAAAAGAATCGCTAGGTGTTTATACTTATAGTTTATTCAATATTTGATCTGGAAATACATGTTCTGTTTTACAAGTGCTGTAAAACGTGTGCTGCATAGATCGCGATTTGAAATGCTGGTTTGTGTCACCACTAAAATAGATTGCAATTATGACCTATAGATGGCGCTGAGATGACAAATAGTATTTAGTCCGAAATTTGAAATGCTTCGGAAATATGAGCTATAGATGGCACTTTCTTGAAATACTACCATACTGGTCGAATAAAATAAAATATGAGCTATAGATAGCCATATCTTTAAATTTTTATCTGGTGCGAGCTCAATTTCGAAGTTGGAGCCATAGGTGGCGCTTGCTAAAATGAAACGTTTATTTTGGTCGAAATTTAACAGAAGATAAATTCGAATTTCAATAATGTGAGTCTCAAGCTTGAAGTTTTTTTTTTTTTTTTTTTTTTTTTTTTTTTTGCGTATTTGTATTTGACTGTGGTTTCTGTGTGATATTAGTTTGCTATGTAATTAAATTCGGTAAGCATAACAGCCAATACAGATAGAATTTCAGTTTTGCAGAGCGAATGCCTAAAAGTTCTGATTTACAAAACTTTCAAACAAAAGACAGAAAAGTTGTAACCTATACAACAGCAGCAGCTGAAACAACAACAGCAGCAACAAAACTGCTTTTATTTAGTTTCAGGTATTTTACTTGATTTTTTTTTTTTTTTTTTTTTCAGCATGTTAACATTTCCGTGCTCTAAGTTGTTAGCCAGCTTTTAATTATGGTAAAATTTTTGCGCTGTTGACTGCAACTGACTTTTGCTCAGTTGCAGTCCAATTGGTTAGAACATATATACCTTCACACACACACACACATACATGTATGTATATAACATTATACATGCATACATAGATATTCGCATATTGCAAAGTGCTGACAAAATTTATGTAAAAGGCGATTTTTAATTTCAGATAAAGTTCGCTTGGCTTTTGATTACCTACGTTTGTGTGTGTGTTTACTTGTGTGTGTGTGTAATCGTAGCTGGTTCTTGGTCCAGCGTTTCTTTGTTTGATAAATGGGATTCGACATTCGAAATTTATGCAGTTCCACCAAATGTGATTGCAATTAGTTATCCTACAAAATATATGTATATACTTATATAGAGTTGATTTAAATTTAAATGTTGTTAGGTTGTGCAGAACAAAAAAATCAAAAGCCACAATGAATTTATTCAAAATATGGCAGCAAAATCACGCGAAAAATGGCCCTGCGACGAGCGACACCTGGCGATTAATTAAAATAACTGTTTATCAACACAAATTAATCATGTTTAAACATGCTCAAAGCTCGTGCGACCGCATACAAAATGGCGTGCAGTTACCGTTAGGGTCATGTTAGTCGCGATTTGCGCGCCCCCGGCGGACGTTGGCCAATATAAGGGAAAGGACGGGAAGCGAAGAAAAGGCCAGGTAGTGCCCCTACCGTTGGGCTGGGTGGGAGTGGTAAGTAAGCGACAGGCACACGCATGTGTTCCACAAATAGATGTAAGTTTCAAGTGTTGGTAAGCGAGTCGTTTTTAATGTAAATGTGAGATGTCGTTTTTTATTTAAATTTACTTAAGTTTATTAAAGCTAAAATAATAAAATTTTTGTACTAAAGTTATGTAACTGTATTTATACTTACATTATTATTAATAAACACAAATACATGATTTTTGAGTATTTAAGATTTAGAATTTTATAACTATTATAAGTATGAGGCAATTAATTTGTTTATGTGTACACAAGCTAAGATCAAATCGGAAAGAACTATATTAATAACAATATATGACACCATATTATAATTAAAAAGCTCAGCTACTTGATATTTTAGATCTACTTTTGTTCTCTTAAATATTTTCTAACTCAATTTATATCAACTAAAATATATAAGTTTTATAATCGACTGTTATAATTATTATATTATATGTTATATTTTTATATTTTTTGATGCCTATTACATTATATTTTATTTAAGCCACGAAATTTTCAAAACGCAGTGAGACGATTTGGAGTTCCTGTTTATGAGAACATCTGATTTCATGCCACATGATAAGTTAATTTCAAAGCTTAGCCAAGGGCGTTACGTTAATCTGAAAATTTTAATGTCATTTACTGCGTCATATGCGACTGTGTGTGTAATTAGGAGTGCGTTTATTGTCGTGGTATCATGAATATGATCTAAACTTTAAAACGAGCCCTGATTGGGTCCGTTGCCGCGGGGCTTTGCCTGACTAACACTTTCGAACGGTTTGTCACGCGGCTGCCATTAGACAGGATCTCAATGGACGTTGACGCGCCTTGCTTGCAATAAAAAGTGGAAAAAGATTAGTCCGGAGTAATTGTGAGAGAGAATTATCTATGAAACAGTTAGAGACCCGTGGAGAGATACAATTCGAGTCATTGGTGCATGACGAAGGACGCAATAAAACAGTGCACCGGGACATTAGGACATCAGGACTGAAGCAGGCCAATTTATTCCATACGTGTCACCCTAGTCCGAATCCTATTGTAATTGCTGCCGCTGTTACTGACGTATGACTTCTTTACAATCATTGCACTTTGTACTTAGATGCGTGAAGCAAAAATCAAGTAATCAATAGTCAATTATTTAACTAAACTAATAATAACTAATATTATTACATTTTGTTTCTAATTTTATTTTATTATTTAAAGCTTTTTCCTGGCAAAGGATTGATGCTCGCATTTACTTTAGTCAAAAGTGTATAAATAGGAATATAAAATTCTTTCTCATCGGCACTTTTTTCCATTTGCTTGTGATGGTGTTCAATATATTTCTGTCAGCTATACGTTATGGATCTCAGATATTAAGAGCAGATACAATGGCATAAATAAAAAATATTTTATTTACTATTTAGCTTAGAGTAAAAGTTGATTATCCCTAAAACCTTTTGTAAATAAAATAAATATGAAATATGAATACTACTTAAGATATTCTGGTTTTAAATACTTTAGTTAGGTGTGTTTTGTTTGATTTTTGGTATCACGGAAATATGTGTTGTACTTACATATTTTTTTTCGTATTTTAAATTGTACTCTTGACCGCTTAACCGCCTAGCTTTTTTCTCGGTTACAATATTTGTAATCGATTCGGCTATCAATTATTACAGCTCAGCATCAGTTAAGACTAAGAAAAGAAAATCATTGCAATTCATGAATCACTCTTGGGACAGAAGAGCTCTTAAATAAATATTCAAATGGCCATTCATTGTCAGGGTTGATAAAGCCGCAGCTAGACAAAATTATCGACCAATTACCGCCGACCGCTGTTATAGCTTATACTCTGTTCTTGATTTCATAGGCTTTGATTTATGAGTCCGGTGTATGTCTGGGCCCATTAATAAACCAAACTGCTGGCAGGACGAAGGACGAAAATTGCTGTGGCTGGCCGCCTGCTTGGGGAAGTACACAAAGCGACTGAGCTCCGCCGAGTAGACATTGTGTGGATATGGATAGTGTCATCAATAGCCTGTGTAGGATTACCTGTATCTCCCACTCCCATTCACACTCACACTCACTCTGTCTATCTCTCTCCCATTCTCTCTCTCCCTCTATCTGTTTCTGTCGCGCCCTGTTGTCATGCAATTAGTGGCGCTTGGGCAGCTCCTTGACTGAGCGTGACAATTGGGCAGCTGGCGATTTATGGCTGACGAGCGCTTGATAAGTCACCGCCCAAGGACCCTAGGCACTAACATCAAAGCCACATTTAAAGCAGCTACGCGTTGCTGCTTAGCCGTTAAAATCATTTAGCCAACAACAAGAAGAATAACCGTGGAAATAGCAACAACAATGTTGCAAAATAAATTGAGTGCTGCGATTGTGCCGGCAAATCGTCCTTCAACTCGTTTGCACAAAATTCAATTACTTCCGTTGGCTATTACTGCCGCACGGCTGCCAATATACATATACCTATATATATATTTATACTGCGCTTGGGTAGGGGGAATTGTGCTCATTGAAATTGCATTTAGGCAGCTCGAGCGCCAACTGCGAACGCATTTTATGCAGCTTCTAGAATTGCCAAAGGGTCAGCCAGCCAGGCAGCCAGCCAGTCTAAGATGAGGGAAGGGGTTGGGGGATGGGGTAATAGCGAGCAAGGTGTGGCAGCAAAACACTTTGCTTTCTGATGGAGTTTATAGAAGAAAGCGAATTCAAACTAATAAAAATGTAGGAAATACTAAAGTTATTTTAAGCAATTTAAAATTCTTAAAATTTTCTGAGTGCGACAGTTTGAGAAAATGTTATGCAAATTGAATGATTAGTCCGGAATATATAAAAACATAAACTAACATATGTATACTTTCTTACAAATGCAATCTACAACGAAACAAAAAAGAGGAATATGTATATAGACTTGAATATACAGCACAGTCAGGTTAAACCGACGCTCAAGGGACCGTCGGTATACCCGGAAGACGCTTTAAGCTAATCCGGGGATCGGATTCTACGTCTCGATAGCTGTACCGACGCTATAAGCGGAGTCGGTATATAGAGTTTGCAAACGTTAATTAGCGTTGGCAAGTCTAAAAAAGAAATATATATGGCAATACCAACTCTGCTATGTAAAGTTGGCAATGTAATATGTCTAAGTATGACCGAAATAACATACCGTATATGCCATAAATAATATTCATATAAACCAACAATTGAGACATAGCAAAACCTAAACCGGATCACTAGGCCCTATATTCCGTGTGGTCAAATCCCTTATTGATCATACGTTTTCGGTATTTGATCAGTATGATACGATTTTATTAAAGGAGGAGAGAGCTTTGATAAAAGATGATAAAATTGTTGATATTGAGTTTCAAAAAAAAAAAAAAAAAAAAAATCAGTACCATTAAAATTAAGTGTATATGATATTTAAAACAAAATGTTTTTTAAATTAAATTTATTTGGAATATATAGCTA